TGCATATTGTAATAAAAAAATCAAACTTTAAGTTAAAATTGTTGTTTCATAAGATTACAAATAATAAATATACGTAAGAGAATTACCTATGTTTTAAAATTCTTTCCTATAAAAATGGAGAAGCTTTATATCGTTCAAAATTAATTAGAATATTACATTCTACATTCGCAGTATTTAAGAGAAAAAAAAACAAAAAAAGAAATTATTAAATAAGTGCAATAAATTATTAATGAAGTAAAAAAATATATTTAATTAATGGGAATTACAATTGTTATATTGTAATATACTACAATTTGTTCACAATATTTTCATGTTAATAAATAATGAGTAAAATGTTAAATTTTTTGATGTATATCAATATAATAATGTATATCAATATAATAATGTAATATGTTATTGCATATACATTGAATCTATTTCGCACGTAGCGTTGCACTTTGACTGCTAAAGACATTATGTACGAAATACATTTGCGTCTCATTAATGTATTATTCTTATCAATAATTTACCAAATCAATTTGTGTCAGCAAAGTTATCCTTCATAGTGTTGCAATAATAAGACATTATGAGATGCAAAATTATTTTGATCAATAAAATACACTGATTATTGCAATTAGCTGCTCTATAATTAAAGTTAAATGAACGATATTTTGTAAATGTAATTTTTTGATTATAATTTGTTTTTAATTGTTCAAAGTAACATACCTTGACATATCGCCAAAAATATTTGACTGATTTTAGCAGTTTAATAAACTCATTATTATTATTATTATTTTATTATTATTTTTATTATCATTGTTATTATTATTGTTATTATAAAACTGGTATTTCAATATTTAATATACTGTACTGACTTGCTCTCTCGCGGAGTCAGCAAAATATGAGACAAAGCCATTCAGCGTGAAGAATTGATTGCATGGACAGATAGCGTATACATAAGGATTTATAATTATTTCTCAAAAATATCTTGGAAAATAAGTTTATCATATATGGTCGATTTCGTATAAAATTAACTTTTAATTTGGTCATTAAAAAATTCCAAAATTAAAAACATAGATATGAAGTGGCGGGGAAATTTAAAATGTTAAAAAAATTTTTTTTTATTTCCTTTATAAAGTATTTTTAAAACAATTCAATTTTTGTGTAAAACTTTTTTTTATCTGTTATAGTTTTGATGACATTCGTTTTGAAAGAAAAAAAACCATTTTTTTTTAAAGGGAATTTCACGTGCAGCTCAGTGTTACGTCCAAATCCCAGGATTTTCTTACTTAAAAGGTAAAGACTTTATTATTTAAAATGATATATAAATAATTATATAAAATAATGAAATTTAAGAAAGAAAGAAGGAGGGATACGGGATTAACGGAAAGACGTACAGGCCTCTCGCTCCTCGCGTGCTAGACGGTCAGAATGAGTCGTTCACGCGTTAGAGTCCCCGAAATGAAGTTAACGTCACGTTGCGACGCTGTAACGCTCCCAGCGTGAACGTTGGTAATTTGATC